ATATTTGTAAGGCGGCTGTTATGAGAACGAAAACGGCAGTTAAGTGTTACATTGTGAGAACATTTGGGGTTTATGGGGACGGTCCCCATAGTAACACAAATCTATAGATTGGTTACTATGAGAACGGTCCCAATAATTGACACTTAATTCATCAACATGTATATAATTATATACAGATGTTTATGAGTATATATAGGACACATCCGCGGACAAGCAACTATATAAATAATTATAGAGAGTGGTTATTATGGGAACATCTATTGCTTCACGTGAATTATCGTTTTTTTTCTATAGTGAAAAATCAATTATCACGGATAATGAATGTTGTTATAACTACTACAAAAGTACTTGTGAAGTATGACATGGTTTTTTTATTTCCTGATTTTTTTATTAACAAGTAATAGAATATCTGGAGGATAACAAGTAATCCATTTATCAGTCTATTATCCGTCAATGGTGTGTGCTTAAAGTTGATTTAAAGAAGAAATTAAGAAAAAAGAGCAAATTGACACTAGAATTGCTATTTATAAAAGAACAATATGATGTTTTTTTACTGTAGAACAAAAAAAAAAAATTGATACCGCCAGAATTCGATCTCATGACCTAACGATTCGGAGTCCGCTACACTACCAATGATGCTATACTCATATTTGTTTTACTAGAAACAAAGATAGCGCGCTCTCCGAGTGCGCTGTTGCATCAAATGTAAAAATCACTATCATTTTAGATATTGTCCAATGGTCTCAAAGTTATTTAGGTTAAACATTTGATAATTTCCAATAATTTCAAGCGATTTTTACCAATAGATGAGAGTTGGGATAATTTCAATAAAGTGTCATTAATCGTAAGATCAGTTATTAAAATGTATAATGGATGATATACTAAAATTCAAAAATAAAACTTTTCCTAATAATTTATACACATCTAAATAATTAAAAAAAATATAAATATATATATATATATATATATATATATATATATATATATTTATATTCAAGTTCATTAAGCTGACATAAATTTCTGATGGATTGATATCTATAACTAACAAACTACGTGACTGTAGTTGCCTTCAAAATTATAATTTGAATTCATATTCTTCGTTGAAACTACCATTCGATACATCTCATATTTGGTTGCGCTTGATTTTCGGTGGGATTATTATTTGATTTGCCCAATAAAACACGTTAGAAACTTTCTACTTGATAGTTAATTTGAAAGATTGGAACATTAAGTCACAGATTGATTTGTAAATTTTGATATGGTTATTCGTTCGTAAATATATTGTATATTGTATTAAAATGTATTATAATGAAATTCATTTCTTTTTGAGCAGTTTGATTAGCTTATTATTTGGTTTTTTATAATTTAATTTATTTATTATACACGGTTGATACAATCAAAAAATTTATAATGTGAAAAATTTAATAACAGTTTAGCATTGAAGAATATTTTTTTTCAAGTTAACATAATTAAAACATTCATAATATTATTGAATTCAATATTGTGAATAGTATAAATTATAAATATAATTCTTTGTAAACATAATTTTTTACAGTTCTGTCTGTTTTTTCATCATTTATGTATACATGTAAAGTTTCCCAAGATCAAACTCTTGAAAATGCTACGTACAATTGTCCATGATTAAAAATATCTTTAGTTAAATCTATTCCAATCATATCAAATGTCTGACCTTGTGCTTTATTTATAGTTATTGCAAATGCTAATACAATTGGAAATTGTCTTCTTTTGAATGTAAAAGGATAAATATCTTCACAATATAATGTAATGCGGCTGATGAATGCTATTTCACCTGATTTATCTCCATTCAATATTTACATTTTAAAATATTATTTCCAAGTTCAAGAATCATTAATCTTGTACCATTACATAATCCTTCACTAATATTGAGATTTCTAAGTAACATAACAATACAAAATTTTCGTAATATGAGTTCATGAAATGGAAAATTTGGTGGATTTAAAGTATTTAAATATTCTGGTAATATAACATCATCAATATCACCCATTATCACAATTTTCCGTACTGTCAATTACTTGTAAAAACTTTTTCAGTATCATAATCTAATAATTGGACAGTTTCATTATTTATTCTGTTAACATCTACATTTCTTGCTGAAAGTATTGCACATTTAGATAATTCGTCAATTTTTTTTGAATAATTAACTTTTTAAAAAATATATTTTCAATCATTTGATCGTTTTTAAAAATATTACATTGATTTGGTAACGTTAAATTATCATTATTATCATTCAAAGTACCGTCACCAACATTTAATAAAAATTTTGAAAACTCGACTTCTGAAGGTAATGTACGCATATTCTGAGTTAATGTAAATTGATGAAAATATTGCCAAAGATAACTATATTTGATAGATAAACTTACTAATTCTGTTCTCGTTGAATTTTTTTTTACAGGCAGTAACTGCCGAAAATCACCTCCTAAAATCATTACTTTTCCACCGAATGGTACCTCACTATTCATCATATCGCGTTAAAGTTCGGTCTATTACTTCTAAAGCATATTTTGGTGCCATTGGTGCTTCATCCCATATAAAAACATCAATGTTTTTCAAATATTCGCCTTGTTTTGAATTTATTTGATGTTTGATGATGAATCAGAAAAAAGAGGTACAGGCAGATTAAAAGTTTTATGAAGAGTTTTCCCATTTGGGAGTAACGTAGCAGCAATTCCTGTGTAAGCCATAGTACAAATATTTCGGTTTTTAGACTTTAATAAATACTACAACGTTGTATAAATAAATGTTTTTCCAGACCCACCAGGGTCCATCTATGTAAATACAATTTGGTATATTGCTATTATTAATATTACTTAAATTTAATATATGGTCTACAATTTCTTTTTGTTGCTCATTTAATGTTTGATATTGCTGAGCTCCACGATGGTTATTTTCCTGTATTGTTCCGTTATCATCTACATATTCCCAATCTGTCATTTGTGGCATATTTGGAAAATTTGATATATGTGATCCTTCATCACAGAGTATAGAATTTATATGAAAGTATGCTTTTTTCTCACCTAGAATTGATCCCAAATTTATTGTATAATCTTCTGACATTGACTTCTTAAATTTTTCCCAAAGTTTATCAGGATACATCGGATAACAGTGCAGTAATATACGAACAAAAAGATATCTTAATTGATATGGCATCATCCAACTCTCTGCTTCGCCTAATGCACGTTCCCATTCATTATCATCTTCAATCAATCCTAATGCCAAGCAAGTATTCATATAAGTATCATATGTATGACCATTTACTGTTCTGATATCTTCGTAACTTTTTGGTCCTTTTACTTTTGTTAATAATAACCTTAAATGAAATAATTCGACTTGTGAAGGACTTACTGAATACATTCGACTTATAACTTTAAACTGTTTTTGACGCTGTACCCAATGAAAAGTATTTGATCTATTTTCTTTTTTAAATACATAATGATAAGGAATATCTGTATAAATATACTTTCTAGCATTCTGATCACGTGCATTCAATACAAAAAAATCAATTAACATAGTTTGCTTTTCTAAAACATTTCTAATTTCTGCTTCATCACAGTCATTATTGATTAATAAATTTTGTTGATTTGGTAAATGAATCGGTAATCTTATAATACTATGACTTTTTTCCTGTAATGGTTTAGACAATATTCTCCACACAGCTTCTGCTGGTCCTACATAGCGAGTTTCAATATGATTATAAATTTCATCATACTGAATATAGCATTATTATCACTATTTGAAACATTTCCATTTATCGTTATGAGCGCTTTATCATGTCCTTTATAAACATATTTATATAAATACTTTACTGATTTTATGGATGAAATAATTTCTACATTTATGTGTGAATTGAATCGTTTCGAAAGTATTCTATTATATGGAACTACATGTTCATTTGTAAAGTGAGATCCTTGAGATCGAGTAAAAATAATTCCTAAATCTCTGCGACGATAATAAGGATAACAGTTTTCATCCATAGTTGTTTCTTGTTGAAATTTTTTTGGGTAATGTTTCGAACATTTTCCATTTACTATACACCAATTTCCGCATGGTCCATGAAGCATATTTTTAGTAATTATATCATATAATATAGGATCATCGGATTCATTTGGGATTTCAGCACAAATATATTTATCGACCATTTGTGGAGTTGTTATTTTATACTTCTCTGCTAACGTTATTAACATATGCATATGAGGTAATCCACGTTTTTGAAATTCAATTACGTATACATAAGCTAAAACTTCTCCGAAATGACGTTCTTTAACAATCATATCAATTAAAGCATTTTTTTTTATATTAAATACACGTGTTACTATATCTGGCCTATCTGCAGCAGTTTGTTTTGAAAATAAATTTTCTTTAATTTCAAGCCAATTAGGATTACATGTCATCGTCACAAATATGTCTGGTTTACCGAATTTTCGAACAATTGCTATTGAATCTTGATAATGTTGTAACATGTTACGAGGAGATCCAGAAAATAATGAAGGAAGAATTATCATTTTTCCAATATTAGTAGTGTTATCATTGTTTTCACTGTTGCGACATTTATTTAAATGATCTATTAGGCCTTGGTATGATTCCGCACGTAGTTGTTTTTGATTATTCCTTAAATAATTTAATCTATCTTTTTCAGTTTTTACATAACTGTCAACGACCCATTGTTGAAATAACCGGCGTCCCATTAAGAAAACATTGAATTCATTTCTAATTGCTATTCTGTATTTATGATAATCATTCTGCGTAACTTTTTGTTTTGTTTATGAACGTAAGATATATTCTTATGCCATCCTCTAGTACCAAATGGGTAAAATAACGGATAAATCCAAGGTTCAACATTTGGATCCATTGTACTAACGTACTGTAAGATTTAGTATTTTTATTGATCACTGAAACATATGATTCCGGAATTTCACCATCAGCAGTTGTTGAGAAGATAACAGCAACTTCGTTTTCTCGTTGAAAATTGAACCGTCTTTTATCTACACCTGGTTTCAATGTAAACATTAAATGCAATTCTGGGTCATCATTACTATTATTACTATTGGAACATTGTTTATTAAGTTCTTTCGCCATCATTTGATAAGAATCTGCAAATACATTATTCTGTCGCATGAAAGTGTCAAGTTCCTTCAAGATTTCACTATCACACTCTATATTATTTTTCAAACGAATTTCTAAAGCTTCTTGAGCATCTATAAAGAATAATTGTCCAAAATTTGGACTTTCATTTGGTAAAGAATAAAGTGCAGTATTGATTTGGTAATATATTTGTCCTTGTATTTTAAAACCAATATGGACCCCGACGTTGAGAAGATAAATCGGTTAAATTAGCATTGAACGAAGCAAAAGCAAAAGAGTTGTTAAATCGACGAATACATTGGAAAAAATTATTCGATTTAGGATGAGTATTTTCAAATAACGATTTTAAAAATGCAGGGAAATCCGGTAACGGATCAAGTTTAACCTCACCATGATGGCAACAGTCATTGAAAGACATTCCTTTATTTGCAACTTTTTCAGCATTAAAGTGTTTCGCGTTACAATGACAACAGTATACGTCCATTTTTCCAATATAATGTTCGGAAATACTTCTTGTGTTAGTGAAACTTGAAGAAATGTTTTCTGTAACAGTATTTATGACGATTGGTAGATTTACATTAAAGATGCCATTAGCCGTACTTGGGCTTTGTAATGTAGAATTACCTAAAAGAACATTGCTACTGCTACCATTATTATTATCATTATTGTAAGTATTCGTATTTTTATTCATATTATTAATTGACTGAGATGTATTCCCATTGGAATTCATATCATGGAGAAGATTTGTATCAGTTGTAAGGGCTTTCTGATTTTTACGTTTTGCCCTATAACGACGGGCAGCTTCAGCATTATTTTCGCGACGTCTTCTTTTATGTTCAATTTCTTCTTCAGGCGTAAGATTCATTTTCCTTCGACCCATAATTGTAAACAACACTGAATTGAGTAATAAATTTTTTTCAATGTTATAAAAGAAATTATAGATATAGTTTTTACTAATGTTTATTGAGAGTCACAGATTCAAAAAATATGTAAATTAATCTTAGATTAATTAAATGTTTGATTTAAGATTTTAAGATATGTATAAAGTATATTCGTTGATATATACAGCAAACATGAAATAAAAGATATTAATGAACTATAAAAATCAATTGTAATTTCTTAAATTTTTATTTATAATTATCAAGTTATTCGTTTTCACTGAATAATGTACTAATAAATTTTTTGTATGACAATTAGTAATTTATTTACAATTAGCTAAAAGAATGATTTTGGTTAATTCTTATTATTAGTAACAAAATTAAGTAATTATCAGATAAATATAAAATTACGGTTATTTAATTCATAGCAAAAATTAACGATACAGGAAAGAAAAGTAAAGATTTTAATAACTTCTTAAAATTGATTTTCAATCTATCGTGATGTATTGTTTCTTATTTCTTATTATTTAGTCTTTTTTTGATATTATAGTAAAAGTACGTTTTTTATCTAGTAAGCAATAGTTGGTATATAGAGTATTCAATAGTTTGTTTTTGTTAAAAAAATCAGTTTGGTATTTAATGAAAGTATTAGTTAAGTTAAGATTTGGTAATTTCTGCAAACCTGAAAAAAAAACATTCAGTTAATAAACATATTTTTTTTATTATTAAGTACTTAATAAGAAATTGAATATCATATTATTTTTTTTTATTGAAAAATTTATATTTTACACAGTTAAAAAAAATATTAAAAACATAAAAAATTAAATATGTTTTAACTTATAATGTAAAATCATCACTGATTATATATATACATACATACATAAAGTACAATTTTTTATCACTGTAAAATATATTAGTCAGTAATCAGTAATTTTCTGATCTTTCTTAGTTGACAAATTTATTTAAGTTACGTTATTAAATGTTTAAAATATAAATTTTGATCTATTTGCATGTTAGATATATTCAATTAATAATATTATTTTCTTACTTGAAAAGCGATGACAGATTTGATTTTAATATGTGACTCATCCGAAAAAATCAATTAATTATATCCAATCCTGAATTGATTATAATTTTGATAGTGAATAAAATATATCCAACAATAACCAATGTAACTTAATTTTAACTGTGAAAAAGATAATCATAATTACAATAAATACTTGTATAAAAATATGATTCGAATTTCAATCTGAAAATGTATATCATTTTTTAATTTTTTATTGATTTACATCAATTAAACATTATGAAATTTACCTTAGAATATGAATTATTACTTTACATCATATGTCAAATGTCAAATGATACACTTCAATTTTATAGTTTTCTATTGAAAATATTTTCAGATCAATACATAACTGAATGATCGAAAACTCTTAATTGTAAAAATCGATTAATAATCATATATAAGTAGAAGATTTTTTTTTTATTCACATAAATTGCAAAATTGGAAATTTCAATGTTTTTCACAAATAACTGATAACAGTGATAAATAATTATATTGAGGTGAGTGAAGTTGCCGTTTTCTTTTTGGTCTCTGGTGGTAACAATTAAAAGTAATTATTGAGGATCATGTATACTCGGTTCAATGAATTGATTAAAATTTATCGACCGGTAATTATCAATACATCATTAATCATATTTATATTCATAGTCAATCCATTTCCGGTTTTATCACAAATAGAATAAGTCACGTTTCGTTGTTATTAAAACTTTTCTGTTAAATCTCTTATTAAAAATGACATCAAATATTTATAAATTTACATCTAATGGTGAGATTGATGAATACACTGCAAAGGATACCGAACTGTAAATATTTTTTTTATTCATTTATATTCAATAAAGTAATTTTGAGTTTTTAATTTTAAGGTTCTAATTAATATTATTTTCTATTAAGAAATTTCTAAAACTGATTTTAGTTACAAAATACAGGGATATTTTATATTTTTTTATTTTGTTTATCATAAACACAGAAATTATTAACACAATTGATATTAATATCGTAATCGTAGGAAATTGAAAGGTTATGTAGAATGCATTGAAGGTTTCAAAGGTGTTTCCAAAGACACGAAGAACGTCTTTAAAGTAATTGTTAATAACACAATGGGGAGGAAAGTACGGCTTCTTTTTTGGAATGATAGAGCTCAAGAATTTGTCAATAAGATATCCCTTGGTACAGTAAGTAATATTAAATCTTCTTTCTCTATACACTTTATCTCATTTATCTCTGAAATATTACTGATTGCAATATTCTTGTAAATTTTTTTCTAAATTTATAGATTATTAATATTCGTGGAGCATATGGACATAAAGTTTATCCAACATATGCTGATAGTCCTTGTGGAATAGTAGCAGACATAGAATTATCTGTCAATAAAATACTAAAGTAGAACTATTAGGAACTTACAATATCAATAAAAAAACTAACGAAATTATCAGCGTCGAATTCCAAGATTTAAATAAAATTCAAACAAACTTAATCAGTAAGTTGCTTATTTTCTTGAATTCTGTATTAATCCTAACTTAATTAATATATTACATTCTATGTACTTTATTCATATCAATTGCTTTGTTGTCATGAAAAATGAAAAAACTAAATATTACAATTATATATGAATTGCTGTTCTTAGGTACAAATGCTTATATTAAGCAAAGTATTGTTACTAATGAATTCAATGGAGCTACGTACGGTTCCGGAGTATTAACTGATGGGATTTATCGTGTCAGGATTCAGGTATCAAACTTTGACCCTACCAAAGCAGAAAATTACCAAGAAGGTTGTCATGTTAATATTATCGGTGAAGTCAGACCCAATAAAGGTTAGAAGTAATTTATAATTTCATTTTTTTGTCATCATTTAAGTAAATAATATTTATCAAATATAATTCAAATAAAAAATTAAATAATAAACATGACTAATAATAGTAACTATAATAACAATTACTATCATCTTATTTTCATAGGGGGAGTAATAATCATTTACATAGCGAATATGGATAAAATAACCAAAACTAAAGAGAAGCCACTTACACAGGAAGAGTTAGAGAATGGCTACCGACCATTAAAACGAAAAACCCCGTTTGGCGATGATGTATTATGTTCAAGTGAGGCTAAAATTCTAAAACTTGATTAATTATAAAGATGATCAGTTAAATTTTTTATTTGTTTTCTATTATATCAAAAATTGATACAAACGTAAAAACATAAAAGGAATATTTTTAGTTATCTGTACGGAAATTTAAAAAAGTTCGTTGTTATTTAAAACCAATTTTCTTTAAGAGAGAAACGAAATTTTTTTTTTTCAATTTTTGAGAAATATTTAAAAATTGTTACATGTACCTTATATTCGAATAGTTGAAGTAGGAAAAAAAGATGTATTTTGATTTGTACTTTAAAGAAATAACTTTTTTTGATGAGAAAGAATGACCAGTCATTCACAGTGAGCTATTGACTGATTAAGTTTTAGTTTTTGTCATTATCAAATATTGATTTTTCTGTTTTCTTTTTCAAATATTGAAAAGAACACATTTAGACATAAGGAAAAAGTTCACTGATTGAGTAAAAACATAAGTTTATCTATGTAAGGAAGTATGACTACATAAAGTATGTACTGAACAGTATTTTTGTAATATCAAAATTGCAATAAATAAAAAACATTTTTTTTTGTATTCAATAATACCTAATTGTTTATTCAATTCTAATAACATTCTGGAGAAAAAAAAATTTAAGTTGTTTTTCACAATAAAAAATTATTAAAGTGATTATTTTATTATTAATCACGATATTTAACTTGTTCGAAAATAACTCGATTCTGTAAATCCAAGTTTTTTTGTTATAAACAATTTTTATTTGTTTATAACAATAAAAAAATTATTAGAAATTATTTTATTATTATTCGCAATATTTAACTTTCTCGAAAATAACTCGTTCTGTAAATCCAAGTTTTTTTGTTATAAACAATTTTTATTTGTTTATAACAATAAAAAAATTATTAAAGAAATTATTTTATTATTAATCACGATATTTAACTTGTTCGAAAATAACTCGATTCTGTAAATCCAAGTTTTTTGTTATAAACAATTTTTATTTGTTTATAACAATAAAAAAATTATTAGAAATTATTTTATTATTATTCGCAATATTTAACTTGTTCGAAAATAACTCGTTCTGTAAATCCAAGTTTTTTTGTTATAAACAATTTTTATTTGTTTATAACAATAAAAAAATTATTAAAGAAATTATTTTATTATTAATCACGATATTTAACTTGTTCGAAAATAACTCGATTCTGTAAATCCAAGTTTTTTTGTTATAAACAATTTTTATTTGTTTATAACAATAAAAAAATTATTAGAAATTATTTTATTATTATTCGCAATATTTAACTTGTTCGAAAATAACTCGATTCTGTAAATCCAAGTTTATTTGTTATAAACAATTTTTATTTGTTTATAAAAATGTCTATGAATAAATTTATGGGATTCTTTATTGTTAATAAATATATTTATTGTCAATAGACGCTGATCAATCGATATTTATTCGGTTATCTTTTTGTGTTCAACTTTTAATAATAAATATCATAATTTTTTTTTCTATATTCTCTCTCTCTCTTTTATTCAAACTCGTGACATTTCCCGGGAATCCAATATGAAATCTGAAAATGCTCCCAAAAGAGCATAAAAAACTATGGAATTACTAATTTGATTTATAATTAAGAGATGAATGTCTAGTAAATAGATTAAATCCCATCATTTTTCTAAGAAAAAAAACCATTTTCAAAAACCAAGTTTTAAATCGACCAATCAGAGAACGAATAAAATGATGACGCTGTTGTGATTCATTGATTTGAAAATCTAATTTTCAAAGTTCTTTTATTTATAGAAAAAGTCAATTTTTTATCATTTTTTTTTGTTCTATCCAGTAGACATAATTCTTACATAATTTC